CACCCAGAAAAGTATCAAAACAATGTCGAACGAATATCGCTTACCAGGGCCCGACACGTGAAACACCTGAAAAATGTCGGTGATTTCTTGGTGATCGAAATTCTTTCTGGTGGTGGAACATCATAAGGTCAGTGGAGGTTTGGTCTGCGCTGGCGCAAGCCGGCGTTGATTTCGTCGTCCCTACGCTTGAAATGGCCGCCGTGCTGCCTCTGCCTCTGCCGGCGCAGGTTGAGGCTTGGTTGCCAGCGCAGCACTCGCCATGTCTACCTTGTCTGGTCGTGGTTTGCGACACTTCTGTGGTGTCTTCGCCGGTCTCGCTATGCATGCCGGGCGTGGCCGGCGTTTCGCGCTGAAGTGGGTTGCTGTCTGCGTCGTCGCCAGTGCTGCTGGTGCTTTGGTCGTTGTCTGGCGTCTCGTTGTTTGTGCTGTCGAGAACAATGGGTCTCTGGTTCCTCGCGGCGCCGCAAGTGAGAGTGAAAGGCAATGTCGGGGGGGGAACTGCTCAGACGGGGGAAGCACCCCGATTGCGAATCCGCTCGTTTCTGAGCGGGGTGGGGCCATGAGGCCCCTACCGGCGATGAATGGGCGATTGGGGGTCGATGCATCCCCCCCGAGCCTATCCACCCCTGACGTCGCCCCTGAGTGGGTCCTCTAGTGCCTATCCTGGCGGACTCGGGCCGGTCCCAGCTAGATCGACACAATTCTGGTGAGCTCGGCCCAGTCCCGGAAGCACTTGCACACTTCACCAGCAATTTTTCGTCTTTTAGCATGACTCCTGCTGGAATTGTCGAAAGCTCCCACCGTAGTGGGCTCGATGCGGAAGATTTAATTAGCACTGGACATGCCTTGGCGGTACAGACAAGAGAGCGCGCTCGTGATGGAAAACAACTATCGGGTGGAGGGGGACTCCTCTCGCACAGGGGTTCGTAAACTCAATTCGACCCAGTCAGATGTAAGGGCAACCAAGATTGGAACCAGTCATCTCCACACATGGCCTGAATCGGGCCATTTCGCATGAATTGGTTCCGGTTCTCCGGGTGGACCCCCAACACCGCCCGACCCCGTCGCCTCCCCTCCTGCTCCCCTCTCTATCCTTCTCCCCCACCACCTCGCCGGGAAGCGGCGTCCACACGCTGGAGGTAACCACGCCAGCCCGCTCAGACGCAGGTGGTTCAGCAAGGCGAGGCTTAGGCAGGGCTTGTAGCTTGAAAGTGAGGCCAGGGGGAGGAGGAGGAGGAGGAGGAGGAGGAGGAGGAGGAGGAGGAGGAGGAGAGGAGGAGAAGGAGGATGAGACGAGGAGGAGGAGGAGGAGGAGAGAGGAGGAGGGGGGGGGGAAGGGGGAGGAGGAGGAGGAGGAGGAGGAGGAGGAGGGAGGAGGAGGAGGAGGAGGAGGAGGAGGAGGAGGAGGAAGAGGAAGAGGACAAGGAGGCAACAGGAGGGGAGGAGGAGGAGGAGGAGGAGGAGGAGGCCTGGCCGTTCTTCCCACCCCCTTCCCGTTCGGGGAGGGGCTCACCACTCCCACTGCGCCCTCCGCTGGATCTGGACGGCCTCCCCGTTGGGCCGATGGAGGGTCCAAACATGGCCCAGGATGGATCCAAGAGAGCCCCAGATAACCCAAGGTGGCATCCAAGGTAGTCCAAGATGCTTCAAGAAAGCCGACATGCCTTTCAAGGACTTACGACGGCTCCAAGTGGCCTCGGAGCCCCCCGAGGACGACCCCGAGAGGCCAAAGTCTAGCACAAGCCCACGGACAGTCAATGTGTTCGGCTTTCTCGCTTCCGATGGGCTTCTGAAGCTCAAGATGGCTCCAAGGTGGCCCAAGAGAGCCCCAAGAAAGGCTCACGAGGGCTTCAAGACGGCCCCAAGAGAGCCCAAGAGCGCCCCAAGAGCGCCCCGAGAGGCGATTCTGAGGCCTTCGACAGGGAGACCCTAATCAAGCACCCGCCCTTTACTTGATCGATGGCCTCCAAGATGGCCACAGGAGGATCCCAAAGAGGACCCAAAGAGAGCCCGAAAATGCCCCAAGAGAGCCCCCAGACGGCCCCAGGAGAGCCCAAACGGCATCCGAAATAGCCATAAGATGGCCCAAGTACGCGGCCAAGAGGCTCCCGCATCTAAAGACCCCAGAAGGCATATATGGTTGACTGTTGGGTCTGCTCAAGCTGATCCCGAGCGTCGGTTTGACGGTTCCCCCCCTCGTTGTTCCACCGTTTGCTCCTACAATTCCCTGATCAAGGCAACCCGCATGGGCATCGTTGCTGGATGGGTTGGTGGGGATGTGCGAAGCGTCAAGAACTCTGCACACCTGTGGAGAATCTGGGGACGCACCGAACTCCCCAAAGTGCGCGCAAGCCTTAAGCTCGATTGGATGCGAAACTTGTCCACCTCCTTCTGCCTCAGGAGAAGGGAAGGAGACGAGAAAGAAGACGAGGACGAGAAGGAGAAGAGGAGAACGTTGAGGCCACGGGCCTCGAGGAGTCCCCCCTCTGGCCCATGGTGAGAAGGCGAGTGAGATGATTGGCTGTCCCCTTCTGGGGAGCCCACAGAAGATGTACGCGCCCAACCAGGTACATGAATACGGCCCCCCAGTCCGCGAGACCAGCCTCGTGATGTGAACGTCTGCGCAATGCGTACTACGGTTTCCCTGGGGGGGACCTGAATGGGGGGTGGAGAAAAGGGCCTTAAAGTGGCCCTTTAGGGCCTCTTTTGGGCCCCTCTGCTGGCTCGAAATAGGGGCCTAAAAGGTCTCTTTGGAGCCACTTCCATGTTCTCCACCCCCGCTTAAGCCATCCCCCCTGACCACCCGCCCGACTGTCCCATCCCCCGCTCCCCCACCCCTGGGAACCCAAATCCCGTTAGAGGGGGTGGGGGCGGGCATGAGCTCGCCGACGCACCTCCGAGACCCCTGAGCCTCCGGATCCACCGCCCGTGGCCAGCAAGATGCCCAAGATGCCTCCTGGGCATGGCTCAAGACGGCATCCACGACAGAGATCGGCGGTGGACAAACCTCCCTTTAGTAAACCTACCTCTAGTGAAAACGGCCTGGGACCGACGCCCACGGACCTGGACCCGCAAAAATCACGGCCGCGACGCCCTCTCGCGAACCGAAAACGGCCAGTTCGCTAATCGACGTGTCAGGGTGGGAGGTCTGTCCCCGAAATGGGCACGGCAAGAATAGGTACAATGCCCAACAACAAATGTTGTCCCAAACCAACAGCGGCCGCTGTTGGGCAGGCGGCCCTCTGTTTCAAATGGACACAGGCCGCGGCGGCGTGGACAGCGAGTCCTGTTCAAAATGCACAGGAACTGTTGGGCATTGCACCCATTCTTTCCGTACCCACGTCGGGCGTCCAAAAGAGAGGCCTCGAGAACACCCACCCAGGGTGGCCTCAAGCCGGCACGAGAGGCCTCCAAGACGCCTCGAGCGGGGCGGGGGGCCCAGGCCGTGGCCGATGTGGCCCTCTCCTCATCAGGAGGAGGAGGAGGAGGAAGAGGAGGAGGAGGAGGAGGGGGAGAAGGAGGAGGAGGAAGAGGAGGAGGAGGAGGAGGAGGAGGAGGAATGCGGAATGAGCCCACGCAGCGAGCATGCACACGGGCGACTTGGCGCGATGACGCCGCCGAACCTTACGCTCGACAGAGTGGCGCGGACGGCACCTGGATGGAGGTGGCCTTCACTCAGCGGGCCGTACGCACGCCACCTGTGCAGAAAGGAGGCACGACTCGGTTAGCAGCCCTCTGTCCTCCTCCCTTTCCTCCTCTTCCTTCCTCCTTTTCCCTCTGCAGCCACTGGCCTCTCAGATGCCTCTCGGGAGCTCCTCACTGCGAGGCTCGGCTTGGATGAACCCCTCCCCTCGAACTCCCTCCCGGCACTGTTCAGGGGTGCGGGGTCAACCTCGTCCGCGGGCTTGCCCTGTTTGCATTCTCGCCCCGCGCTGAGGCGGAAAGCCTCGGACAGCGGGTCCCGGACAGGAGGGAGAGGGTAGCCGCCGCGCCGGAGCCCAGCGAGGTGCAACTTGTCAGCCTGCTTTTGATGCGCGAAAACGAATGCGAGAGCTTCCCCCGCGGGCGTGGTGCTTGCCCTCTGGAAGCTCGGTCCTCCCTGCTCTCCGCCCCCTCCTCTCCCCCCCCCTCGTGGCCCGCGGGGGCGAGGTCCTGGCCGCGGAGCCAGTTGGACACCAGGAAGCAGAGGCCCGTCACGAAAACCCTGCGGGGCTCCCGGTGGACCAGAGGAAGATATCAGGGCACGAAGAGCACTATAAAATCATAGATTTACCCGCCGTCGGGGAAGCCTGCATCAGGGCAGCTGGAAAGTTCATACACCGACGGTGACACGTCGGGGTAGAAGCTTTCCAGCTGCACCAGGGCAGGCGTCCCCGACGGCGGAAAAATGCATGGTCGACCATTCTCATACGTCGTCCCCGACAGATAGGACGGCGCAGGCTGACACCCGGCGGCGGCGCCGGAAGCGCCGACAAGGGGGGGCCCAGCGCCGACCCGAGAGGGCGCGAAGCTCCCAAAGTCTGTGTCTGTGCGGCCCTTGCCGTCTCGATGGACGGGCGCCCAGTCCCTCCACGGCGGCGAAGGCCGCGGCAGCGCCCGAGGAAGAGACGGAGGTGCAGACCTCTTGGGCCGCGGACGCTCCTCCTCCTCCTCCTCCTCCTCCTCCTCCTCCTCCTCCTCATCCCTCCTCCTCCTCCTCCTCCTCCTCCTCCTCTCCTCTCCGCCTCCTCCTCCTCCTCCTCCTCCTCCTCCTCCTCCTCATCCTCTCCTTTCCTCCTCCCTCTCGTCCTCGTCCTCGTCCTCCTCATCCTCGCCCTCCTCCTCCTCCTCTCCTCCTCCTCCTCCTCCTCCTCCTCCTCCTCCTCCTCCTCCTCGATTAGGCGTCGGTCGAGCAAGCGGCGGAGCGCACCGAAGCGAGTGGAGGCACGAGGCCGCGGGAGCACCGAGGGGCGGAAAAGAAGGCGAGGGGCAACGACGGGGAGGGATAGGCTGAAGTCGGGCGTGTCCCTCTACAGGCGGCAAATTCAAAGATAGTCACAAAAAAGTAGGGGGACGATTTTCTCAGTATGTTCGACTACTTTTAAGCATTTCTTAAATCTGTTTTATTTTTCGTCCACAATCCGCCTGTAAGGGGACACGCCCGACTTAAGGATATGCACAGGGGGCGGGGAACATCGACCTGGAATCGGCGATACATCGCCGGCGGATCGGCGATGGGCCCCCGACAGTGAATCCGCGCTCTCCTGGGCGGCGCTGGGGCTACCCAGCCCCTATCGGCGATCGATGGGCGATGAGGGGTCGATACATCCCCCCCATATGCTTAGGTCGGGCGTGTCCCCTACAGGGGGTTTTGGGCGAAAAATACAGAATGCTCCAAAAATGCCCCCAAAATATACAAAAATAGTCAAAGGATGGTCCCCTGACTATTTCTTTACTATTTTTTAATATCCCCCCTGTAGTGGGACAGGCCCGACTGAACCCTATGCCATTCCCGCCTATGGCTGCCCGTGAGAACAGAAGAAGAAGAAGAAGCGGCATCAAGATGCACTTTTGGCGCTCCGTGCGGATTTCTTGAATTTGCGCTGGTCACCCCCCCTGGCGCGCGGAGCGCGCCAAAGGCGACGCCAGAGGCACCGCCGGGCGGGCCCCAGCGGGGATCCAAGAGATCCGCGCGGAGCTCCGAAAAGTTCTGTTTATGTAGTTTTCTGTTCCTCGAGAATAGGGGAAAAACAAACCTACCTCGCTTTTGACCACCCTCGCTGCCAAGAGATACCAAACGATGCCAAATTGCAGCCTGTACTGGTCAGGCCGCTTGACGAGGAGGCGCGTGGTATGGCTTGGTTTTGCCTGGAAGCGAAAGCGGGGTAGGTAATTCACGCTCTGAGAGAAAAAGGAGGCCGGTCAGAACCTTTCCTTCATCACGGGCGTGCCTGAGCCCCTGGGGTGCAGACGGGCGGCCGTCGCTGGCGGCCCGCCGCGGCCCTCCGCCGTCGCCCGGTCCTCCGAGACGCGCTGGCGCCGTGGCGGCCCCACGCGCGGGGCTCCGGCAGTGCGCGTGGACCGCTCCGCCCCTCGAGCGATCGCGGCGTCCCGACGGTGCGGCTCGTCGGGCGTCGGCTGGCTCCGTAGAGGCCTCCCGGATGGGGCCCGAGCAGATGGGGTCGGAGGATCTCACCGCATCGCCGACGCATCGCTGATGCATCGGCGATGCACTGGCGACGTCGCCGACGCACCTCAGACGTCGCGTGGAGAAAATCGGGCTCCACATCGAGCCGCACCGGCGATGCGTCGGCGATGCGGCGAGATCCTCCGGCCCCATCTGCTCCGACCCCATCTGAGAGGCCTGGGTTCCAGGCGTGGCGTCAGTCCAGAGGCGGCGTCCCGCCTCCAACGCCCGCGCGGGGGCGCCTCCGCACCGGCACGACACGGTGCCTGCTGCGCGTACGTTCGCTCCTCCGTGTGGGATCCCGGCGCCAGCCTCAGGGCAGAAGCATCCTCACGTGCACTACGCCTCCCGTCCTGCCGGGCAGGGTGCAGGACCTCGGGCTGGCGCGACGCCGAGAACACGCACACCTCCTCTGCCGCTCGGGGAGGTGTGATGCTTACGTGCACTGCGGGCTTTCGAGCCTTGTCATGGCCCGCCTCCCCCTCCCACCCAAGACAGAGATAGAGAGACAGAGGCCCAAAAGAAACACTTAAAGAATGTTCGCTCTTATATGCTCGCGTGCCAGTCAACACGTATATCCCAAACCCTCGATACCCGCCCTCTTCGTGTTCGATCGTCCCCCCTTAGCGGCAGATCCTTCTTACCTGCAACGTGTATTTCATGCAGCCACCAAGGCCAGGGAGGAGAGGACGGATGACAGTCATGCATGAATCGCGAGGAAGTCCCGAGCGATAGCGCGATTCCCACATAAATCGTGAGGAAATCCACAGCGAGAGCATGATTCCTGAGTGTCGAGGGCGCGGCGTCTGAATAAATTGCGAGGAAGCCCCACGTGAGAAGCCCCAGCGCAACTGGATCAATCTGCTGGCCCCTTTGTAGGGCCATGAGGCTGCGTGGCGGAGGCGTCCTGCTTCCTGCGCCAGTACAAGACTCCAGTCTCCTATATCATAATTTTGCTTTCTACTGTAAACTGTTGCTGTCCTCACGAGGGGGAGAGAACGAAAACCACCCTGGCCACCACGCCGGAATCGCGTTGCCTGAATTTCTGGCGGATCTGCGACACGTACAAATACATGAGATCCTCGCCCCCGAAACAAGAATCTTTCGTAAATTACGCCAGAGTTGCGTTCCCGAGGCCAGAACCAATTCAACGAACGCCAAATTCGAGCTACCGAGGAATCAAGTACAATTTACTCCATGTTCGCAATCTCGAGGCCAGAATCCCTTGCAAATTGCACCAGATTCGCGGCTCCGAAACCAGAATCGCTCGGAAATTACAGCTGCTTCGCGCTCCCGAGGCCAGAATCTCTTGCAAATAAAACCAGACTCGCGCTCCCGAGGTCAGAACCACTGCAAACTACAACAGATTCGCGCTCCTTGGGCCATTACCGATTCCAAACTACACCAGGTTCGCGCCCCCGAGGCCGCGATACCCTGCCATCGACGCCACGGCTACCAGTCGTCCTCGCATGGGGTTCCGATGCTGCTCCAGGCCAGCACCCAGGCGGGGGCGGCGGCAGAGGGCGAAGACCTTACTCCGGATCGCTGAATCATCGCCACCCCCCCTTGGAGTGCCCGGGGGGGTTGGCCGCGGCGCGTCCGCGGGGGTGCCAAGGGGGGGGTCTGGGATTCGTTCCCTTCCCCGCTGGGGCGCGGGGGTGGTGCCAGGGGGTGTTGGCCGCGCCACGTTTTTACGTTTGTCACCCCCCGGTTGATTGATCAGAAGTTCGGAGTACGTATTTCTGTTTGCTGCCACACTACGACCTGAATGTTGTGCTACTGTGCTCGGCCATTATTCTTACGACCGGCCTCAGCACTCTGCATATAATGACTGTGTGTCTGCATGTTCTTGGTCGTCTTCTTGCTCCTCCTCCTCCTCCTCCTCCTCCTCCTCCTCCTCCTCCTCCTCCTCCTCCTCCTCCTCCTCCTCTGTGCGGTCGCCCGCTGCCCTGCCAAACTCATCATACTGTTTGCGCTACGCTCCCGCGAGGTCCGCCCCCCTGTTGGCCTGCCTCGGGATCTGCCTTCTGGGCCTGGAGGCCCGGAGCTCTCCGTCTTCCGGGATCCGTGCGTACCCTGTGCGTCGGTGCGCGTGACCCTGGGGCCCAGCTTCCAGACCCGTCGGGGTCCGCGGGGCCCCCCTCGAACCACATGACTTGAACCAGTCGTCCGACGGGCGCACCCTCCTGAGTTTCCCGAACAACGAGGCTCAAATCGGAATCCCACGATTAAACCGCTCCGATTCATATGCAGGCTCTGCCCGTGGCTCCGTCCGCTCCGCCGCGACAGTGCTGGCAAGACAGAGGGATGCGGGCCCATAGTCGTGTCCTATCTTATCTCTCCCTCCTCCATTCCTTCTCCTTATGGATAACTTTTCCCGGTCGCACACCGAGCCCAGTTTTCAGGGCGGGCCGGGCGTTTCGCTTGAGACTTCCTCACCATGTATGGCTCTGAAGCTTGAAAAGTGACAACTGTTTCACAGATGGAGGGCGGGTCGTTTTCAAAATGTGGCTCTCGCCTTCGCGCGGCGCACATAAGATTGAAAGATTTGCCAGAGCTTCAAGGATTGAGTGCGGGTCGTTTTCAAAATGTGGCTCTCACCTTCGCGCGGCGCACATTCGTTTACAAAAAAAGCAAGAATTTCAAGGAATAAGGACGGGTGGTTTTCAAAATGTGGCTCTCGCCTTCGCGCCGTGGACATCGTTTTCAAAAATGCAAGAGCTTCACGAATTGAGGGCGGTTCCTTTTCAAAATGTGGCTCTCGCTTTAGCGCCGCGCTCATGCGTTTCACAAATGTGCAAAAGTTTCACGGATGGAGGGCGGTTCCTTTTCACAATGTGGCTCTCGCCTGCGCGCGGATGAAAATTCTGTGTTTTTTTTAACTGCAAGAGCTTCACGGATTGAGGGCGGGTTGTTCTCAAAAAGTGGCTCTCGCCTTCGCGCGGCGCACGCTCGTTTAAAAAATGCAAGAGCTTCAGGGATTGAGGGCGGTTCCTTTTCAAAATGTCAGAGACTTGTAAGAGTTCCACGGATTCCCATAATCAACGTACCAGAAATGGCGCTTTGGAAGGATTCATTCAGGATTATGCGGGTGCAACAGTTATGCTGATTCCAGGTGTTTGGGCAAGCTTCAGGGTCTTCGAGGGTGTCTTCCAACGAGGCAGTTCCCTTAATGGAAATGAACCGTCGTAGGGGCCTATGAAGAGGGAGCTTGGAGGGAGGGTAAATTCCAACATCGTTAATGACTCTTTGGTTTAAACTGGTCCTCCTCCTCCTCCTTATCCTCTTCCTCCTCCTCCTCCTCCTCCTCCTCCGCCTCCTGCTCCTCCTCCTCATCCTCCTCCTTCTCCTCCTCATCCTGCTCCTCCTCTTGCTCCTCCTCCTCCTCCTGATCCTCCCCCTCCTCCTCCTCCTCCTCCTCCTCCTCCTCCTCTTCCTCCTGCTGCTGTTGCTGCTGTTGCTGCTGCTGCTCCCCCACTCCACCCGCCATCGCCATCCGGCATGAGCGCACGCCCTCCCGAAAAGGAGCAAGAACCTCCCGCCGTGATTTGCTCACGACGCGAGGAGGGCTGGATCCATCCCACCTCCCTCCTTCTCCCCTTTCCACCTCATCCCTCTTCCTCTTTCTACTCCTCCTACTGGAGCGATCGGCGTGTCCAGAAACTCTTGTAGAACTGGAAGAAGACTGGGTGCACGTTCACCGCCATGACAGAAGGCGCCTTCATCGGCACCGGGTAAGCACTCATGCAGATGCCTCCTCGAGGCAGGGGGAGGAGGAGGAGGAGGAGGAGGAGGAGGAGGCGGAAAGGGAAAAGGAGGAGGAGGGGAACTCTA